AGCAGAGGACTTCCTTTAGTAGATGCTGTTATGAGGTGACTAATTCAATAGGAACGAAGAGAATTGTGGAAACAAGATTTTTGCCAAATTCCCCCCTCCTCCACCTTTTAAGTACATTGATCAAAGAAGATCCATTTATTCATTTTAACTCAGAGCATGGCTAAAGCTGTAATAGAGAAAGCTAGGTGCTGCTGTAAATCAAGAGCAATTCAGCTACAGGGCTGTTGGGGAAAAGTTGTATGCCATCTTGTCAGTAAGTTCATTTTGTGGGTTGGTAAAGTATAATTAGGAAGACCAAAATACACAGGTGCCTCAAATCTGGGTGTGCTATTTAACGGTATTCACCAAGAACAACTGACCTAGTGAATTATAGTGGGCTGAGGCTTTCTTGTTCATACTAAATTCAGTGAGATATTTTTTTCATTGACTGTTTCTCCTGACAACAGTCATGTGGGATTTATTCTCTTCACTCTGTTTGACAGCAGTGTGATTCTTTATAGGCACAGGTGTCTAGCTAGCAAGGACTTCTCATTTGCTTAGTTGAAGTACATCCCGTGATATGCACGCAGCTGGAGTTTTCTGAGCTTTTGTTTGGAAGTGGACAGGAATATCCCTAGATTCACTCATAGAGTTCTCGGGCTTAGGTTTCCTGTTGGGATGGAGTCGCTTTTCCTTGTAACAGATCTCCTCCACTGTTCAGTCACAATCTGGGGTCTTGATGGTCAGGGGTGATGGATGGGGGTGAAAATGATGACTGAGGTACACAGGGATTCTGTCTGTTGTGTGGAGTTCTTGCTTTTTTGTTTTGTTTTCAAGGGGTGAGTCCATTCTTAGAAATGCTAATGTTTTAATCCTGGTAGTTCTCCCTTCCCTGCCTCCCTTTTTTTTTTGGTTCAGTTTTGCATACTCTACATCTCTACATGCTGTTAAAATAATATTTGAGGCTTTGGTTGTTTAGAAAATGAGTTATAGCTACATTTGTTGCTGGTATACTACAGAATGAAGTTCTCTAAGCTGTTGCATAAACAGGGGTCTACGTTTTCTGTGTGCTAAACTAGACTTTGCCAAAATTCCCTGGCCTCTGCTGTTAATGCAGGATGCCAGAAATTCCAATGGTATGTTCAATCAGGGAGTCACATCTGGCTAAAGGAAGGGATAGTGGTGCCCCCAGCGGTGCCAGTTGGTGGGAAGTTCTGTGGCTGAGCCCCACCTGAGGAGGTGGGTGTTACTCTGAACCTCAGCGGGCCCATTCCCTGATCCCCACGCTGCTGGCCTGGTGGAGCTACTGCCTCCAGTTTACCACCACCATGTGCTGTCACTTTACTTTGCCACTGTTCCCATCAGCTCCAGCAGCCTCAAACCCACTCTTGCAAACACATTTGGCTCCATCAGGAGCCTCTTTAGCGTTTGGCTCTGTACCCTCCAGTACACGTTACAGAGGTACCTGTGCTCAGAGGACTCTGAGACATTGTCCAGCAGAAATGAACCGTCTTAGGTACCTGTCATGCTTGGGCTTCCCTTGTAGTGTCTGCTTCCCTGGCAGTCCACAGGACTAGCTGGATCACAGTGGGTCATGTCCGTTCTTACTAAAGCGAGTTGCTATCACTTTGTTAGAAAACGTAACTTTTTTGGAGCAAAAACATATATGAAAACTCTTGTATATGAAAATAGGAGGAGAAAGTTACTTGCTGTCTGTTCATACTTACTAATTTTTTTTTTACTAAATTTTCTTCTTTTTTATGTGCACAGGATGTTTTCTAGCTGTTAGCCTTGTGAACTTACCCTGTGCCATTAAAAATAATAGATTCTTTTTGTAATCTCCAGTTATTAAAAGTCATTTTTGCCAGATAAGACCTTGAGTTGCACAAAAGCTAATGAGATGTTTGTGAAACACAGGTTGAGGCTTTATGCATAGGAAAGGTGGTCAATGTTTTGTTCCTCTTTCCTGGTTAGTGGTTTCTGTTGATAGTAGTGGATGTTGTGGACGACTTCAGTACTCGTGAGGACAGTCAGCTCCAGGAGGGTAGGCGAGAGCTACCCTTGAACGATCAGCAATGGAATAATTACAGATACTCAAACTGAGGTGTCATTACTGGAAGTTCAGTGTCGTTAGTGCTAGCAGATTGGAGGCATGAACTCCCCAACCTGCTTGAGTCTCAGGAAGATGAGTTTTGACTGGTATTCATGTAGGAGGGCTTGGCTGCAGCTACAAGGATTCTTCCAAGTTAGAGCTTGGGTTCTTCAGTAAGTTCTAAGTTCATCTTAGAGATGCTCTGACACATTCTTATGGTTAGAGGATTGCAGATTGCTCTGTGTCCCTCTAGCATCCACTGCTAAGGTTTCCTCAGCCCACCGCACAACATGATTTGAAGTCAGCATTTGGAGTGCTCTCCTTTCTGGACTCTTACTGTGAATATTTTAAATGCAATAGCATTTACTGTAATTTCAGAGAAAAAAATACTGCTTGGCTTGATTTCTCTGTGCCTCTTCCGTTTTTATCCATTCAGCTGGTCCCAAATAGAAGGCGACAAAGCTATCGGAGCCTCTGAGGAGATAAACTGAAAAGTTTAGATGAAGTTATATTTGCAGTTATTGTGGTAGTTCTGGGGCGCGCTGAAAAACAGAGGACAAGAAAGCTTAATTTCTCTAGTGAGAAAGACGACTTGGATTCTGAAAACATTTATTAATTTGGTATTTTGTAATAGATTGATAATGTATGCTTGCAGTGGAGCTGGCTGCTGCACAAGATGCTACAGAATCACAGTAAGAGTTGTGCTTAAGGAATTAATCATGGAGCTGTACTTTGCAGGTATTCCTTTTTGCTCGAGTTTCCTAATCTGTTACATAAAGCTATGCATTCTGAATTATGCAGAAAATTAGTATTTGAGTCCAGATAGGAATTCAGGGTTTCTGGCTTCCAGTTCTCCATTTGGACCTCGCCTACCTTTTTATAGCTCTGGGAAAGTCAGCTCCAGCATATCATTTAGCAAAATACCATATAGGAAAAGCAAAGCCAAGCCCAAAAGAGCTAAAACTAGCTGGTTTTAAGTTAGAAGGCAGAAACAATTTTTGCAGATTCTTTCTGACAAATGGAAACTTACAGTTCCACACCAGATGTAGTTCCCCCCAGTCTTTGGGGTTAGTTCTGGTGCGGAGTGAAGTGCCTGTGAGATGTGCCAAGAGCTGTACAGGACTCGCTGTGGTTTTGGAGTGGCTGCTGCAGTCAAGGAAATCCTTTCTTAGTATGAGCTCCACTAGGATATGCTTGTAATGACAGACTGAAATGCTGTCACTTGGCAGTTTGTTCATACAGTGACTGTGTATTCCTGTATTCAGAGGTACCCTGAAGGCTCCAAGCCTTCCAAGTCTCCCTTTCTAAGTGGTATCTTAAATCATTAAAGTTGAGAGCTGAAACACTTTCCTACTATATAAGGCATTTGTGCTAGTGGTAGAAATTGGAGTGTATTTATAACGCTAGTTTGCTGGAGTAATGTGGATTGGGAACAAATGTTTGTTTGGATAAAATCCAACTCCAGGGATTGGTTTTACTGCTGCATGTAAAATCTGTAGCAAGCTCATAAAAACAGCAGCTGAAAAATCCAGTAGGGTCTTCCCCATTGAAAAAACATGAATTTGGTGTAATGTGGTACGGTTAGAGACTTAACTTGTGAGGGTTCACGTAGCAGTCAATGACCCTGTGTGTGACATGCTGTCATGTTGGAACGGAGAGATGCTCTTACATTGTTGGCATGCTTGGGGATTGTTGGTGTCACTTGTTAATACGTGCTGCTATTCTTGTACATATTCTTTGTCTGTTTAGAAATAGTTCGCCGTTTGTGCCATAAGTAATATTTCATGAAATTTGTAACTGTATTCTTAACAATATTGCATAGCACTGACATGAACAAATCCAGCCATGAAATGAGCTGAGCTGTTTTACATTCTGCTGATAAATAGTTGAATGAAAATAGTTGGCAAAAAAAAATGACACAAGTGTTTTTGGGCGTGTTGATTTAACTGTCTCCATTCAGTTCCAGTGTTTCATTAGATTTGCCTGGCTTGTTAGACCTTTCTGCTGCTGTACAGATAATTACTGTATGTCGAGCCTCTGTGAAATAATTATCGTTTGGACTAAGAATGCTCACATCCAAAGCCATATGAATTAGTTTTTATTTTGTTTTCTAAGACTGTTGTCTGTTTTGTTTCTGTTGAAGGATGTTCAGAAGGAGAGAGAACCTCATGTTTATCTCAGTAAAGAAGAAGTTAAAGAGAAGATACAAAGCTATAACTCATCTGTCACTGATAAACTGAAGATGACCTTGGTAAGATTTGCATAAAATTCCTGTAATTTATAATAGGAACATGGACTTGGAAGTCTTTGTAGTGTACTATGAATCATTTTATTCTTAGCATCTTACATATGAAAGTGTGTGTGGCTTGATGACTTTGTAGGCTCTTAGATCTGGAAATTGGATCTTGTGTCTGAAATGTTTGTAGTCCATTTAGCTTTTTTACATGGAATGAAAGAAACTGTAGTAGAAACAAATCTATATGTGATTTGAAATGTTAATGCCTTTAAAATAAATTCACAATTGACACATTTGTTAGGTGAAAACCCCTTAGCAGGTAAACATGAAGGCATGTTTATACTTTTTGGATAAAGAAATGTTTGTCAAGTATCTCTCTGGTAAAGATATTCAACCAATGGGAAAAGTTAAAACATACAATATTTGCTGTAGGAGCCTTAATTTTCAGAATAGTCTTACAGCTTTTCAGCATGATGAGACCCCTCCCCCCCCCCAAATAACATAGGCAATGGAATGCCTGTGTAGATTTTTCCAAGGATTGTGGACCTAGTCTGGGACTCAGTCCAGCCTGCTCCAGACCATTCTAATAAGATTCACGTTTACCTGCCTAGCAAACTGTAATTGAGTCTTTGTCTAGGTTTTTCTAATGCTTTAGGTATAAGCAAATTTAGAAAATCCATTATGTCTTAAACCCTATAGGCACAACTACCTACTGAACGTATTTTTGTTATGTATTTTCATATGGTCAGGGCTTTCTGTGCCTAAACCCAGGTTGCCTAGTGTCCTCTACCTCAGTAATGTTTGACTAGTTTTTGCTATTTTCTTTTTCAGAAGCAATTGGAATAAATAATTTGAAATGTCAATTAGATTAGCATTTATTCTGCTGCTCCTTGAATTGCAACAGCATTTGACCATCTAAATCCCTTAGACTAATTTGACAAACACAGGTGAAATGTGGGGAGATAATTGCTGTATTTGTGCATAAAATTGATGGTTAATAAGAAGCGTGTATGTGGTCTTTTCTGCTTCATAGTTCTTTCCCAACGTGAAAACTTATCATTGGTTCATAGTACCTTTTGCCTGATGGCATCTTAAGTCTTAGAATTCAGCTGTAATTATTAAAAGAGGAATTATTTTTTGGCAGCAATAGCAGAAAGAATAAATGTCTGAATTAGTAAAGCAGCATCTTTCCTATGGGATCTTACGTATTACAATGGTATTTTAATTCTGTTCACTGTGAACATTATATAATCTGTCCTCTCCACTAAAAATATGTCATAATTGGTCATTATTAATTTTAACTGTCTGATACTTGTCTTCCTACCGTAGAACTCGAATGGGATTTACACTGGCTTCATCAAAGTTCAGATGGAACTATGCAGACCTATCACTGTGCAGTCTTCCCTGAACCAAGGAAGATGTATTCACAGCAATAACGAAACTGCTTTTTACTTGCCAAATGGCTATGTGAATACACTTCACATAAGCAGCACCAATACTGTGCGTGAAGTTATTGAGGCCTTGCTCAAGAAGTTTTTGGTAGCTGACAACCCTGCGAAGTTTGCACTTTATAAACGCTGTCACAAGGAAGACCAAGGTAGAAGATGAAGTGTGGCATTTTGATGGTGCAATGGTCAGGGATGGGAGTTGTGCTATGGGAATGCCTGAAATAAACAGGGTGGAAAAATTCAAATAAAAGAAGGTGACAATCTTGCTCTCGTCTCTCATATTCAGGCTGCCTCATCTGTTTCTTGTGAAAGGTCATATGTGTATGAGTGTAAACTAATTGGGGAAATTTCACAGAGCTGAAGGCAGGAGTGCCCATTAAATCATGTACACTGATCTCCTGTGCCTTGCAGTCCACTACATTTCATTTAAGATACCACCCTGTTGAGCCCTAAGACTTGAGATAGACTGATATATTGCAGGTTTGTGAGATTAAATTACAGGACAGATTAGAAAGAGAAACTGCAGTGTAACTAATGCCTGAAATCCATGCAGTGGTAGACAGCTGATCAGATGATTAGCATCACAGGCATGTGCCCAATCTTTGCATTGTGTTCTTAAGTGCCACTTGGTGCACATGACTCTCCCTGCACTGACTGGTGTTAAGTTTGGTAAATGTTATGGTTTAAAATACCAAAAGATGCAAAAACTAATAATTTAGTGAAAAATGCATTTTGCCAACTTCATGTTCTTGCACTTAAAATCCAGCTTCTTCAGTGGATGTTGCCAGCAGTCAGGTGCTAAGACATTTCTGGCTGTCAGTCATGCCAATCACATCAGGGAGGCAGGCAGAGTTGTCTTCTAGACTTTGTATATGAGAACTCAAGTGAAAAGGTTTCAGAATGGTGATACTACGGCTTTGATCTTCTAAACGCTTATTTATAGCAACAGATCTGTGTTGTATTTTCTCTTCTTTCCTGCATGTGTTCAGATATTGTGCTCTGTTGACAGGTCATTTCATCCATATTTGAATGCACTGTTGCACTGTTACCATCGGTGTTGTGCTCAGCTTCGCCTAAAACATTTTGTCCAAACGTTTGTCCTAAAGCATCTATGCAAAAACAGTGTCCAGAATGTGTAAATTTTGTGGCTACAGATGCATGTCTTTTAAAATTTCTAACATTAGCTAGTATTAATCATTCAAAACACTTGAAATATATTATTTCTAAAGATGATAACTACTGTCATTCTTCTCCTGCAGTTTATACATGCAAGCTCTCAGACCGAGAACATCCGCTCTATCTGCGTTTGGTGGCAGGCCCCAGAACAGAAATGCTTAGTTTTGTTCTACGTGAGCATGAAACTGGAGAAGTTATGGTATGTTACGCTCATGCTTTGCTTTTTTGGTGGGGAGGCGGGGGTTGTTCTGTTTCTATTCATGGATGAATGGGCTCCTGTTTGATCTGTGTTGATATGAGGGTCCGTTTTTGTGTATGTGTGCAGCGTACACAATGGGGACATGTCAACCAAAAGCAACAATAAATCTGTTTATAGCTTGCTTTTAAATTCTCGGCATGTCCTATTTGGTTAGTTATTTATTTTGAAATAAATAAATAAACTGTCCACAAAACTGTTCATTCAATTTTTTTCCCCTTATAAATCCTTCTACCTCAATAACATGTAAAAAAACCACGTAATTTGGATCACAAAGATCCAAATGGTATTGAGTGTCAAGCTTAATTTAGAAATAAAATAGTAAAGGTAAATTCAGTACAAAAGCTACCCAATATTTAATGCTTAAAGTTAGAATAGTTAGGAAAGGTGAAAAATGCAGTATCTGGAAAGACATTATCCAGTGCATTACATCCTTTCTATTTCATTAGTTGTCAAAACATGTTAGAACAGAAACTAGTATAAACACAAGATGTGGCCAGGTTGCAGGTTTCATAGGAATCTTCACTTTCCAAACACAATTACGTTAGTTGTCATCTAGTTGGCTGTTGCAGACAGTATAGGACCATGGTTACTACTGTGCAAGTGAAACTACTTAACAATAGTTCAAGGTTTTTGTTTCTTGTCTTTCGTGTTAAGGAGTGTTCATCAATTTAAAAAGTAAATGCCTGATAAGTAATGCCTTCAACTTGTTTTGTGTAGTACGTTAAAATGGGAGAAGTTTTTTCTATTTTTTTTTCCTCATGGTGTTTATTTTGTGCCTTTTATAAACGCTTCATCTGTAGTTAGACTGACCCATTGTTGCTTAGAGAACAAAAAACAGTTTAGAAGAGGAAATGTTTTCAGATCCATGAGATTTGCAAGGAGGGTGTCTGATGCTGTTTTGAGTTCTAACCTGTTTTGAGTGGCTAGATTTTTGTTTAAACAGACAAATATTTTGTTTGTACTGTATGTATAAATTACTCGTGTGTTTCTTGTTCACCTCATTCATCTTTTTTTTCTTTTTCTTTCCAGTGGGAAGCTTTTAGTCTTCCTGAACTACAAAACTTCTTGCGTATACTGGACAAAGAGGAAGATGAGCAACTACAAATCTTAAAGAAGCGTTATGCAGCTTACAGAGACAAACTTGAAGAAGCCCTTGGTGGGGTGTGGAAACCTGGTTAAAAGAGGGCCAAAGTACACTCAGGAAAAATGCACGCTACCAAATGCCATATAGCATGCCAAACCCAATGTACAAAGAGCAGCAAAGAGTAGTTTTCTTTATTCAGAAGACTTGTTTTGTGATGCCAGGGTACCTGAATTTCGCTATAGACTTAGTTCCCTAAGCCAGGTCACTTAGCATCTTGCACCCATAAGTAAGGGATTCTGCATGTTTGTACATCAGTTTGCAACCCTCTATGTGCTTAGAGAGTTTTCCAAGTTATCTTGGTGCAAGCTGTGAAACTGTAATCAATTTTCTAGGATGCTATGAAATAAGATTTTTTTTTCTTCTTTGCTTTAATGGTAGCTTTACAAGTAAGGATGTGCAAATTGATCAGTTAAAAATGAATAAAACTATCTGGATGAGAATCAGTTGGAGCACTATCTTTGAGATAAAATTGATTTGCACTACCTTTCTGTTTTCAAATAGTTACTGTGTAATTTTTGAGAAAACTGTTATAGGTGGAAGGCATGTGAGATTTTATGGCTTGTTCTGTGAAATTTGTGGAAGGCTTTAAAGTAGTCTTTCTGAAGAAGGTAAAGAGAAAGTTGAAAAGAAGGTGAGAGCTGAGGAAGGACTGTAACAGCTGACAAAGAAGGACTGGTTTTAAATGGAAATAGTATTTATACACAGGAAAGTTAAAATACTAATTTTACATGAGTAAAGTTTTAGGATGTTATAATATTGTGAATAAGTTTTTAGGGTTTTTTAAATTGCATAAATCCACACTGGAAAAGAAATAATTAATAAACATAATGGGAAGGAATGAGAGGGGAAAACCAAATAAGAATGGAAGTGGAGCTGCACATACAGGTCATTATTGGAGAAGCCTTTTCCTAAATGCATAGTGGGGGGTCAAGAAGTGCAGCAAAGCTAGCAAGTGGCTGTTTACTTGAATTCTGAAATGCGGACAATGACTAGTCTTGGATAACTCCGTGAGAAGTACCCAGCTCGTGGTAACGGAGTGTTTAGGTTCAAACTGTAACTACAGATGCATTGGTCTTTATCGTAAGTCAGATCTTTCCTCTGGCTCAGTGATCCATTTTTAGGGTGGACAACTTATATTTGAAAGACAAAAATAGCTTCCTCTGCTTCCTTGTTTGCTAAAGGCTCAGTCGGGCAAAGAAAGTAGAATTTCTTATTCATGTTCCCAGCTTAGCATGAAATTAGAACTCGACTGTGTTGGTGACTGAGCTTAGTAAGTTTTGCTTTTAGTAATTCAGAGGGTTTTTTCCTAATGGTTTTAAAATTCTTAATTGAACAACTGATTATCAAATTCTGTAGACTGCTGATTTACTTGATTTAAAAGTAGGAAAAATGTAGCAAGTAAAAACTTTTTACTTTTCTGTAAATGTAATTATTGTTTTTTCAGAGTTATTTATCTAAAAAAGCACGTTCAAAAGAAACCAAAGAAGTGGGTGTGCAATAGAAGCATGAGGCAGATTTGAGTAACTGATACCTTTAGTCATTATGCCAGAAGGGAAGCTAATGAGTTAAAAAGAAATAGTGCTAAAGATATAAGAGCAGCAGGTTTTTTTTTTTTTTTAGGACTTTCTTTGTAAATTCCCAAGGAATTGTTAACACTTTGGTGACATCTAATGGATACTGTGTGAAACTCCAAGATGCTTCTGTTCTTCCTCTTAATTTGATGTTAATTGTGCCTTTGTTTCCTTTCCTCAGTAACAGACATTTTTTTTTAAAAAAAAAAAAAGCTCTTCAGTTTTCTTTTTTGCAGAAAGGATTAGAAAACTTAATGAGACAATCATAATGTGTTAAAGTGTTAAGAGAAATTAAAAGTAGGACTAACTATAAAGTATATATATGGCATATCTTGTTTGTTTTAATTTCACATGTAACATTGTAGTGCATGTGTGAGTTAGTAACATTATCTTCAAGTGAGACACTTTATAATGGTTCAGGGAATGCTTTTATGTTTTGTTAAGAGTTTGTTTTTCTATGAATTACAGCAGCATGTTGATGGGTATTCTCTTAAGATCTACTTAATTTATGTATCTGCCCATAATCATTACATAATCGCTGTTAATGTTGAACCATTTGTTGCTCAGATTTAAACACTGTTTGAGTCTAAAAGTGGAGTATATAAATATGTGAATTTTGTTTTTACTTGAACTAAACTATCAGTCTTCTTAAGTGGGCACATTTGCATTTACTTTAGCCAAAAACCTCAATCAGTGTTGTATGCACTACAAGTTTTGATTGGAGGGGGAGGGGGAATGACCAAAAACAAACTTACTATATTTTAATTTTATCTTAGTCCACGGTTAATTATTGTAAGATGTCATGTGCGGGGTTTGTTGTTATTAATTTTTTTTACACACTGGCGATGACAACAGCTTTAGTTTAAAAGAAATGGTCATGCCTGGCCAGTTTTTCTCTTTTTATTTTAGCATCAAATTGAACTATGAAAGCTCTGTTGCAAAACTGTTTTCATTTCATTATATGATGGTACCAGAATGATTAAATGATATGGGGGGGGGTGCAGGGAAACATTAAAATGTATGTCTTTTAAAAACAAACAAACATTAAACTATTTATAATTTTGACAAGTTTAGTTTTTATTTTTATAGGGAAGTTTGTATTCCCCTTAAAGTTATTATTGAAATGGCAAGTGATGGTTCCATTATTAAAGTTGAAGTTGGCAGTACTTAGCTATGCGGTGTGTTTTTATTTTCCATGCTTCACTCTATTATCTGAAGTTCGTGCTGTGATCACTTCAATACTGAATGAGACTTCTTCATAACAGTACATCATGTAATGCGATACAGCTTGCCTTAAGTATAAACTAAAGTTTGTATGGAACAACAGATAACTTCTAGCTATATGTATGCCTGTGTCCTAATCATATTTGTATACTGGAAGTACAGAGTTGTGTTTTAATTTGGCTCCTGATTTTGACATAGAATAACACCGAAAAACTTAACCAATCAATCTTCTCAAATAAAGCAAGAAAAAATAAATAAGAGCTCCTGCAAGGCCTCCCTAGTGTTAACGTTCTTAGGAATAGGTATCTGGTGGTGGCAGTTAATAAAAGCTATTTAAACAACAGCTTAAGAGTCTGTAAAGAATACACAGACCTGGTACGTAGTTCAAAACTTAGCTTTTTTTCTGAAGAGCCGACCTGGAACACACAAGTAGTAGAAATATTTCCACTGGCATTTTCTTTAAAATTCAATAGAAAATGGCAGTTTTAATGACACGCTTTTCAGTGGTGTTTTTACAGGTTTTTTTTACCGTTCCTGGAGTCAGAAAGTTGCAATGCTTGTCAGTTTTGCTATCCCAGTTGTTTGAAAAGGTAAATGAAGAGTACACAAAAAGTAATTCATGTTCCTAAGGTGCTATTTTAATACATGACTGAAACGCGATTAAGAAATTGTTTCCCTTTTTAAGCACTGAATAAACAGACAGATAAATGATCTTAAATATAAAATCACAGAAGACTCAGCCTAAAATTTTTCCTGTAAAATTACTGTGAAAGCAGACTAGCTTTTAAAGTGTTACTTTTAATTTTGCAAATTTACTTTTAATTTTGCAACAAATATGGATAAAATCTATCCATATTGGCATGTTTATATGCATCTGCAAATGCAAACACACATCCCTCTCCCCTCCCCCTAAGGCTGCACTGACATAGCCCACTGATTTTAATCATGATTTAATAAAGTAGCAGAGGTAAAATACTTTTTTTTAAATTCTTGTTTTGAGCCATAGCGTTAATGATACTGACTTCTACTGATTAAAATGACAATTAAAACTTGTGGCTTTTTAACACTAAACAGGTACTCCTCTTCCTCTGTGTAGCAAAGCAAGTAATTCTGCACATCCGGTGGTAGAGCTTTAACAACATGCTTACTCAGATTCTTAATTTTATGTTTAGAAAACCTATCCAAAATGAAGACTTAACAGAAAAGCACTTTAGAATTCACCTAAAACATTGGCCTCGTTTTATCCGTTTCCTTTCTCCAGAAGAAGCGAGCGTGGTTGCTAGTCGTACCTGAATGCCCAGAAACGTTAGATGGCCTCATCTGTGTAAGATGAGATACTATCTTTAAAATTCACCTGCCCTTTAACCTCTGCGTAAAGGCAGCTCGTGGCTGGTCGTCTCCAGCATCTCCATCAGGAAGTCTCCAGTGCTGAACGTGCGGAGGAGGAGGAGGCGGCCATCATTTTATTTGCTGATTTATTCCACTATCAGGTTTTTTTTTTTAATGG